CCAATAACATTACCTAACACCACTTTTTAAAAATTCTCTCCACCACCCTACTTTTGTTCTACTCCCCTCCTAAAGACACAAGCCCACTTTCTCCAATCATGCCTCACTGTTGCCGTGGTCACAGTTGTCATGGTGAATTAGCATCCTGTGAGGCAGAGGCGCAAATTTGTGGTTCACATCATTCTGCAGGAAACGCTGAAGCAACGTCCCCTCTCACTGGCGGTTTCATTCATCCTGCATAGAAAAAAAAGGCATTCATGTCACAGCTGCCACGGGCCCACAACTTTTCATCACTCTTTTTCCGTGATGACACATTCTCCTAATGAGCTTTTTCCCAATTTGATTTTTTTTAATCATTAATTTTACTACACCAATGCCTCCTTTTTTGCCTGTGAACACGCAAAAAAGTACTTGTACAGAAAAATGTTTAGAGGTAGTCGGAGGAGAAAAAAAGTCTTCTTTTTTCCCCTTTTGAATTAAGATAAACCCCTCTTTGTCATTTTACCTTTCAGAATTTTATCTCTCTGGTCAGGTGGCGCGAAGTTTTTGTTTGAAGACAAAAAATGGAGAAAGAAAAAGGAGGAAGGAAGAAGGAATCAGGGCAGGATAGAGACGAACCAAGCGATTCAGAGTGTGAGACACATTGACACTGCATAAAACGCTCCTGAGATCTCTCCTCTCGTTGTTTTCACACAGCTTTAAAAGCTCAGCGTCAGGGGGAGCAACTCAAAGTGATGCGCTGCTGTTTGCATTCTGCCCTTCTGTCTCATCTAATTCTCATCCTGTCTTTTTTCATGACAGCTCGAGCTTTTTCTTTAGTTTTTCTTTTTAGTTACCAGAGACTAAACAATAACAGGGCGTGGGAAGAAAGGACAAAAGTGGGCCGGATCAGTTCTATATATAAAAAAAAAAGGAGAAAGCCTTGAAGTGTGGTGACACTGAAAGGTTTAGATTGAGAGCTGGTGTATAAATGACATTAAAAAATAGAAGTTTGTTCATTCTAAGAAGAATCTAAGATTTCAAATGCACCAATATAAATGCTTGATAAAATGGTAGGGATTTGCTCTTACTTCTTACCTTCACCAAATTGGACTGATATTTCCCAGCAATGTCACTCTAACACTATACATTTTGACTTCTCTACCTTTTCTGTTGCTCTCTAAATCCTAAAACCTGTTATTCCTGACAAAACATCACCTCACAATTTAAGGAATCACTGCATTTCCTTTAGTTTACTCTGAATATTGCTTTATAAGACCATGGTAGGCAGACTACTTTTTTCAAAAGCTTAAAGGTGCCATTCTAAAATGTAAATTTAAGATGGAATTCAATGGTTCATAAGTCTAATTAATGCATCTCGAATAGAGTCTGGGATATGTCAGTTTTTTCCCCCACTGTGTAGCATCCCTTTTAATTTCATTTAAAGTCTGTACAAATCTGGAAACTGAGGAACAGCTGCTGGACCTTTGGAAAAAGCTATGTACCATTCTTGTGTTATACAGGATTTGGTCTGCTTTTTGTTTTATTTCACATTGATATTCGGTATGTAAATACTATATAGAGCATACGTTGCGGTAATTAACTTTGCGTATGCATTTATGTTGCCTTTTCGTGTACTAATCTACCCCCATACCATCAGAGATACAGGCTTTGAGTTGGAATCGCCCCTTTCAACTTTAGTTTGGAGGATTCAGGCGCCATTATTTGCACAAATAAATTTAGTTTAATCTGACTTTGGAGTAGTTTTCCACTTTTCCTCATTCCATTTTAATGAAACGAGTTTCAGTCCATAGAGGACAACAGTGTTTAATGAAACTCTTTTATCTTTTTTGGAATCCTATGGAAAAAGCTCTAAAATACACATCATAGCAAACGGCAACATTTAGGTATCACAGGTCAAATGGGAAAACCTTTGCAAACAAAGCAGAGCAGACATATCTGCTTCTAATAGATCTAAAATGTCCTTGATTTGTTTTAGTGGCGCCAAGTCCCGTAAGATTTAGGTACATTTACATTTTATTCCAGGCAGAGAGACCAGTACACATAAATGCTTTCTCTCCAAATTCAGTAAGGCCATAAGGAATGCATGACAGGATAAGTGAATCGGAACCAAGAACATACGCTCTATTATTTTCTGAGAGATTTGTCTGTAAATTCTTTAAGTGCAGAACTAGAAAAGGTTTTCTGTTTGAGAAAAGGCCCATTTTTATGTTTATGACCACTGTGGTCTTTTTAAATGTAGCAGAAAATATGAACTGGATAAGATGTGTGTGGTGCATAAAACTGACTCATACAGCAACAAGCAGGAACAAATTCAGCGAATTAATGAACATGCTGTTACCCTGGTAAGACCAAGCAGAACATCCGATCTGACTTACAGGGGTGTGTAAAGATGCAAATATAATAATACCATCACCATAACTGAGATACGAGGGTGGCAGCAAGAAGTTTATTTTTACGGTGTTGGAACATTGACTTAATCTCAATTCCATTTGTAATGATAATAAATTCGGGGAAGTATCAAGAGCCTTGATCTTGGATTTGAAGAGGCAATGAGTTTTGTTTGGTTAGTATTCAAAACTGACTAAAAGCCACCTGTAGCTGAAACAGAGCTTTATTTGGAGGCAATGCTTAGCAATACAAGCACAGTATCATCAGCGTATAAATGGATTTTAGCATTAAATACTTCAGAGCAGCTTAATAGATTTGCATTTTTATTGCACTGAAAATGTACAGATGAACCTCCTCCTGAAGAAAATAAGGTTACATTTTCTTTTCTTTCATTCTGTCTCATAAGTTCCGCTGTGTCATATTTGCTTATCCGGTTTCAACGTCTTTGTTTTTTCGTTGCTGATTCCTGCTCTTGTCTGGGACTTTTGGAGAATCTTTTCCTGCAAACAGAGTCCCGTAATTTATTTTTTGAGGCTGCTCATTTAACAGCGTTGTGGCAGAATAAATGTGCCGTTCCGTCTTTATGCCGCACAGGAACCCTTGTTCAGCATCTTGTTTTCTTTGTTTAATTCACATCATCTCATCTGCAAAAGCAATGGGTTCCTTCTTATTGCTTCTAATTTATGGGAAAGCATAAAGTTTGAGGGAATGGGTAAAGCAGAATGAAGATGTTGCTGAATCAATCAAAACGCCTTGTCTGACAGCAACGTGAGTCTTCTGGGCTTTCTTTGTGCATGAGCTGGTGCTGAACATCAGGATGTTGTGCTCTAGATAAAGATGCCGTCGAACTGACTGACTGCTTTTTGTTTTTTTGCTCCTCAGGCACCTGTCTGGCTCCAGAAACAGGGAACTTCTCCACATCTGGACCCCCCTCATTAAACGAGTTTGCCTCATCTCAGGCTATGTGAGTATTATGCAGGGAATTCTACTTTTTTTTTCCTCAGTGCGATGTTTATTAATAGGAAAAGCATTGTTGGGGGTCATTTTTACACCAAACAATATACTATGTAGGTTATGAGGTTGAAGAGTATTCTTTTTGATATATTAATCCTTTTTTATCTTTAAATGTTCTGACATTCTGCAGTGTATAAACAGCTATTTTTTCTCCTTTTAAGCAAGCTTGTGTCACTTTCACCCTACGACTATCTGCCTTTTTGGAGCATGCTGTTTGCTCTGTATCACAGCATGCCGTCGGTGCTCCTCCTCTGAATCTTTCCCTGCTGTGTCTTCATGAAATCAGGTGGTCATTATCATGTCCGTCAGACTTCGGCTGATGGGCGGTTCCATGCCTCTTTTTTCTGAACAGGACAACCCCGCCTCTTTCTCACCTCATTTACTCACCAGGTTAGTTACACCTAAACACTTTCACATGCATGACAAAACAAAAAAATCCCCTTTTTTATTTAAAGAAAGAAATGTTTGGATGTAAAATAGATCTTTGAATAATTTAGTCACTGTTTTGAAAATGTCACACTTATAGTTCATTGTTTTGATTTTTCCAGAAAAACATCAGGTTCTAACTCATAAACAAAAATGGCTTTACCAGCTAGAGGGTTAATATATGTCCATAGAGATGGTCTCACGTATATACTCTGAAACTGGCAATTCCAACCCAACCTATAAAATACACGTGTTGTCAGCAGCTTGTGATTTCAACAAACTATTATGCACCACAGCCTGTGGGATACTGTCATGCTATATTTTCCTATTGTGCTGCTGCATGACTGTCCTGTGAGAGAAAATACATTTTAAAGGCTATTAAATTGAATCACTTCGGTATTTATTGTGCGGCTCAGTTCACTATGACAACCAGAAGTTATCTCAGGGCTCTCAGATGGAAAAAAACAGCGGATCGAACATCAGTTAATGTCAATTACACATCATTCGCTGCTGTGCTAATGATGATACCCAGCAGAAAGCCAACGCAAAATGGGGACTCAGAAGATCCAGTCAAAGCAAAACAGGACTCAGGCTAAGATAAAACACGTTAAGAATTTTTTATTTGTACCACAATCAGAAATTCACAGTGAAGCTAAAGGGAGTACAAAATAAACTAACATTTTTATACTTGGGAATCCATTGGTTATAAGTAAAAAACAATATAGGTTGCTTTATTCAATATGGAAAGAAATAATTCAGCAGCCAGAATATTCAGACTGAATAAATATGCAGTGACATTTAAAGTCCATTAATTTTACTTGAAGACTTACTAGCAAATTCTTTGAAGGTAAATGTACTTCTCATTCTACCCTCGAGTAATCAAATGAACACTTTCAATAAGTAGAATATTATGTGTACTTTGTAATCTGTATACAATTGAAAACTGACCCTTTTTTCCTTGGTAATATATTTCATCCCTCTCTTTGTCTGTGGCATTTCTCTCTTTCATTCATACTTCCTTTCCTCATATCTTTCTCCCCTCACCTCCCTGCTGGCAGGATCCTAACCTACTCTTACCTGTTGTCCTTTAACGCCTGGCTGCTGCTGGCCCCCATCGTGCTGTGTTATGACTGGCAAGTGGGTAGTATTCCCTTGGTGGAATCTCTGGGGGACATGCGCAACGTGGCCACCATGCTGCTGGCTGTGGTGATGGTCGCTCTCTGCCTGCACTGCGTCTTTTCTTTACAGGTAACATCTAGAATGTGAAAAGTAGCAGACAAGCACCATAGACCTAATTACGCACAAAAAAGCTCTCTGCTTCCTGATGTTAGTCTGTTTTTGAATGAGTAGTTTGAGGGGTATGAAGATATTTTTCTAACTGCAAGTTTTACTAATGTGGCAAAGATAAGATGTTTGCATTTCACTTTTCGGCTCCCCCTACAGTTTTGGGATGGAACACTACTGTCTCCAAATCTTGCGAGCTGTTTTACGATCACAAATATAAATTTTTTTCATGTGCAAATATGTCCAAAAATTTAAGTGACCTTAAAAGCAAAGAGTCAATAGAGCAGGACACCAAAGTTGTGAGCTGCGTTGGACTTCAGGCTTTAAATTCAGCATAGCTAAAAGTCTATTCATGTTTTTGCATCAGACGAAGTGAAAATGAAACTAAGAACCGGCAACGCACACTGAAAGCATTTAACAAGTCAAAATACCTTTTTAAATGCATGACAAGAAGGGGCTGCTGTACAACTAAAGTTTGGGACAAATTGGCACATTTGTTTTTGATTGAGCAGATGAGTAGGTCAATAGGCAAAACTATTTTTGGCTTAAAACTTGTTGATTTTTCATCCCATTTTGAACCTAAATATATACATGTGTTATACTATAACATCTCTGTAACTCTTGTTTTTCACCCATCTCCAATCACTACTAAATACTTTGTTGTCTCATTCAGCACATTAAAGTCTAAAAGTCTAGTATAAACATCCATCCGTTTTCTATAGCAGCTTATTCCCAACGGTGCTGGAGCCTTTCTCAGCTGATAATGGGCAAGAGGCAGGGTATACACCCTAGACAGGTCACCAGTCCATCACAGGGCCAATAGAAATATGTCCAAAAAAAAACAATAGTACTTATTTTGCTCTAATTTTAAGTGAAAGAGAAATAGTACATTTATAGCTGATTATGCAGCAAAATGTTTAAATGCTGGGTGGCAATGAATTCTGCTTATAATGCCTGAGACATAATATGTTGGAAACTGTGTTTTGAGAAGAAGTAGGTTTGGATCAGATGAAAAAAAATCTTTGTCTGTGTCGGCCTGATTTCTGCTCCAGGAATTTTAAGCTGACCACATTGTAGTTCTTAAATTAAGCTCTTCTGCAGTATATTCCCAATTAGTCTTAATATTGCACCTAAGAAGTCAGGTAAACAATGTTTCAGTGGAATTAGAAATTAAAAACAGTGAATTGGATTAGACTATGGACTGGATCTTTAAAGCCCTCAGATGACATTTGTTTTTCTTGGACACTACACAAAATAACACCTAGTTAGACCTCAGTTTTACTGTTCAGGTTCCAAATGGCAGATGCAATAATGACATTTATACCTCTGCTCTTCACACCAGATTAAATGTTACAGGATCTTGGTGCAAAAAACAAAACAAAAGAACAACAACTTCTCACCCAGAGCTATGATGTCTATAAATAGATGCTGGTGTCACAGCTTGTGATTAAGATGTGCCTCTGGCCAGGAGGTACAGTCATCCACAGCTTCTAAGAATTTGGGCCGAGTCCCACTACAAAGCCTGTAGATAGTTAGCAATAGCGTAGTTGACTTTATACGCAAGATTGGATAAAGTGCCTGGCCTTTTTGCCAAGGATAAGAGACTAAATGCTCTCTTAGTTATCAACACTAGCTAATCCTACTGTGACTATCACAGAGGCAAATTACGGTGTGCTTGTAAATGTTTGTAATGACAATCGTGTGATATTACATATTTTAACCAGAGAGGACTTTGCTTGTGTGTCTGCTTTTAGCCCATACAAGTATTTAGAGGAATAGGTGTGTTTGTATTCTGGAAGATTGACAGAGGTCTTTTCCAGACACAGATGACAGGAGTTTAAGCAGCACTAATCAGCTCTTCACACGCATACTTCACACTCCAGTTCTCCTTGCAGATTATGAAACAGCCCACTGAACCCATTAAGGTTTGGTCTATAAAAGTCAAGCGTGTTAGAGTAAACACAGCAAATCATCCAGAAAAGCAGATCCAGTAAAGGCCGAGGGCATTAAGATGATCAAAATGACCTTAGATGTGCATTGGATACTTTATGACAGCTATTGCTTCTCTGTTGTACATGTTTGCTAATATTTTGGAAGATTTTTTTATTGCACATAAACAAATCAGACTGGGGAAGTACTTGTGTGTATTGAAAAACATTAAAATGCCCATGCACCATGCTGTAGGGATTTGCTCATTTCCTCATTACTAAACAAAAAGCTGCAGAAAATGTTTGTATTTTAAAAACTTTTTATTTCTATGCCTTTTCAGCAATAACAGAAAGAATCTTTGTGTAAAAAAAAGGCTGTTATATCACCTCACGGTACAAGTATCTAATATGCTATATGCTATATGCTAATGCTAATACATAACAGGCTAAGTATAAAAACAGAAATATCCAGACCAGACTCATTTCAGCAGTGGAATCAGGTGTCTTTCAACTAAAAAAACATAAACCACCTCAAATAAAGAAGTTCTGTGTTTCATTCGTACATTTTTCAGCTTTTAATAGGATAAACATGCTAATGTTTTCACCCTGACTCAACCTTGACTTGATGATAGCTTATCCTGACTTTTAGCATTAATGTAGGTAATACCTAAGTTGTAGAGATGAGATATATATTTTTTAATAAGACCTACTATAATCACTGAAAAACATGCTATACAAAATGATAGAGCAGGATTTTAAATAGTGAAAAGCCTGCAATTTGAAAGTGTTTTGTTTCTCATGTGATTCAACTCATTTCTCTACAGAGACAGGACAGCAGGGAGGTGTTGGCCGGAATGCTGTTCCTGGTGTTTCCCTTCATTCCAGCAAGTAACCTTTTCTTCAGGGTGGGATTTGTCGTTGCAGAGAGGGTTCTCTACATGCCAAGGTGAGGAGATGTGGTCATCAACAGAACTTTATGTTAGCCGAGTTTCATCTTTTGGTTTAACAGACCTTTTAGTTAAACCCGAGCCTGTGTAAGAAGACAGATTCTTGCAAATTTGTGGTCAAATCTCAAAACTCTGTATTTACCTGAGGAGATCTGTTAAATCAGTGGACTTCAGTGGTTTAAAAAGGCTAGTCTGAAAAGACACAAACCACAGCTGCAACAGAGGCCGGGATCGGCCCCACCAGATAAAGCCCCTGGCCCAGATTGTGCAAACGGGCCTCAGAGACAGTCCAATACATAACAGCTTGGCTCCATGTATGGGGTACATGGAAAAAGATGGTGGGAATTGTCTACAGGAATATTTGTTCCAGGTATGGGCTGGATAAACCCAAAGGGAAATTGGACAATATCTATAAAGGTGGTGGAGAATTTGCTGGTAGACAAACTATACAAGAAGTCAGTGGTGATGTGTGCTGATTTAAAGAAATATATATATCAGGAAGAGGGAATATAAGAAGATTGAAAAATACTAAGGAGGTGAGTATTTTGGAGGGCAAGCCGAGGCAATACTGAGCTCAAGGATACTCCTTGTTGTGTCGTTCACCTTGTATCCAAGAATTTCAAGGATCACGGCAGCTGTTGTATTCATCAGCCAGTTGGTGTCCGTTGTAGTTGGTTCCAGGGGATTTGAACTGTTCTGTTTGACAAGATGTAATATACAACTCGTTTGGGACAAGCCATTTTAGTTCTGGTGCATCCCCTGTATGAAACAGAAAATATGGATTTGTAAATTAACATAAAATGATCCATTTTGAAAGGTAAACATAGTTTATAACAAGTAAAGAAGTAAGCATGACAAAATTCCTAAGCTGATTTTGAGAGATTCTCTAAACTATCGACTACCTGAAGAGACTTTATTCATAAGATGATTTCCAAAATGTTTGTGCCAACTTTTTATAATAAATCATGGTCACAATATGCACCCGAAGGATTGTCAGAAATATACAGATGAGGACTATTTAAAAGTCTCTGGTATTGATTATTGTGAAAACAGCAAATGACTTGACTTTGTATTTAACACCCAAAGACCGACAAAGTGTGAAGGAAGGAAGGGAGGAAGGATGCAGATGGCATTACTCAGGGAAAGTCTCTCAGATGTTGGAACCTTCTTTTTCTGATTAACTTGTATTTTTATTTGAAAGTAAGCAAAACCATGAATAATACTAATGCATCTGTTTGTTGTTTTAATGGATGTCTTTTATTAATACGACCAAGAGATGTAAATAATTCTTTTTTTAGGGAATTTATTATTTATTTTAACATCCCTGAACATATATTAAAAAAAGATATTTAAAAGCTTTATTTATAATTAAATAAATTATGAAGTTTACAATATGTAATTGTGTTTTACAAAGTTTAGTAGAACCATGATGCATATTTATTCTGTTGTCATTTGAATAATTTGATTTGATAATGTCACTGATGTTTTTTTTAACTTTCTTATCTCTTCCTGACATCTGCTCTTTCTTGCCCTTATCCTTTTTCTTTTGCCTGCTGTTTTCCTCTTCCATCCTCCCTCCCTCGCTCCCTCTATCCCTCCCTCCCAGTATGGGTTACTGTATCCTGGTGGCTCATGGCCTGGGCCGGCTGTGTTCGGTGGCGGGCCGGTGGGGTACCACATTCCTCAGCGTCTCCATGTTGCTGCTGCTCCTGCTCTTCTCCTGGAAAACAGTCCAACAGAACAATGTCTGGCTCTCCAGGGAGGCCCTCTTTCGGTAAGTGCGGGTTCAGTATTGTGACCACAATACAGACAGTCACACAGGCTGTACTCTAACAGAGGGATTTTGACTTTTTCTTTTTTTTTTTTTAAATGGGACGACTTGCCTCTTTGCTGCTTTACTTTCGCCCACAGACAGGTTTCCTCCACAGAGGAAACCACAGCTCCACAGAGTGTAGCTGCAACACACAGCCAGATCACAGCACTTCTATCTGTGTGCAGTGGTCATTAGGTGCAGAAATGTGCAATATCTTTTCAGGCTGAGCAAAACGATCACTGGCCAGAGAAAACCCAACGACACTGGTGGGTGGCTTATGTAGAAATAAGCTTCTTGTGGAACCTAGAAACACTCGAACTGCCATCTTCTCTTGCAAACCTACAGTTTCTGCGGTATATGTAATACTCCCCTGTGCTTTCTTTTGAAGGCATAGGATTACAGAGACTCTGGAGCTCCCATTTTCTTTTTCTCTGCTTGCGTTCCCGCTGCAGATGAAAGCTTTGAGACAGACTTCTAGTGGGTGGCAGATGAGTCAAAATCACGTCGTTATTCCTTTGCAACGCATCACATGTATAAACCAATGACTTCATTGTTGCTCAATTGTTCTTTAAAAAAAAAAAAATACTATCACCATCGTGCCTTATATGGGGGATTGTTCTATTCATCCATTCAAACTCTGCTCAGTAGCTACAGGGTGGCCCTACTTTGAATTAGAAGCAAAAAAAAGGACCTTTAAAAAAAAAGAACACAAAGAACTATGACGTGGACACAATAAAGAGTGAGTAGTTCAAAGCAGTATGAATTATTCCTACTGCTGGCTTTTGATGAGGGTTAATCCTGTCCAAACCAACTTTCTGCCATAAACTTGGCTTCTCTTTGATGCACATGACCAAGTTGCTGCTGTGTGGATAAAGTCTACACAATTGTAATCTAAGCACGGCTACAATGGAATAAAGAGGCCGCACAACAATTAGCAAACACTCTTGATGTGTTTCCGCATTTATAGGGACATTGTGAACAACTGTGGCCGATTCATATTTTTAAATAACCTGGCTTTCTTTTGTTTTATGTGGATCTTTCTCAGTAAGCATGATTGGAAACCAAAACTATGTTCAGCATGTGGTGTTTGGCTGTTTTTATTTTTCTTAGAGTTTCATCCATGCAGTTTTAGGAAAAGCCTTTTTTCCTCAAAGCCAAATCAGGTTTTTAGCCCAAAGTGTTTGTTACATGTTAAAGGGGTATTTACATTCACCAAAGCATTATTTTAGCTTCTTTTTTAAATCCATGAAAACAAAAAAGTAATAGGACTAGGCACAGAGGCAAAGTAATGTTAAATAACAGGACAAGATAACCAAAAAAGTGCTCATTTAAGTGACATCGGCCCTGTTGCTGGTGCCCTTAGGGCTTATTTATCCTCCCTTTATATACAGAAGAATATAAAAGATTTGATGCCAACATGCTTCCGTTCAAGCTAAACGTTGGAATGATCATTCAGTACATTGACCAGAGGGCGGTGCAGAGCTCAGAGTTTCAGTATGTAGCGAACATAACGTTGGCGGAAATCATGATGAAGCACCTTTTCGAGCAGAGACCTTAAACAAAAAAAGGCAACACAGGCAACCACGGAAGTCTGTGTGGACAATAAATAGATCCGCATTGATCCGTTTTTGTCTTCTTAGTTCCCTTTGCTGGTCCCTTTGCAACGATTTTGTGCAGCACTGCCCCCGCAATTTCCATTGGTGCTGCTTTGTCCACAACGCCTCTGAGAAAAATACCGTTATAGGCAGAAAATGACAGATTTATTGTACATTATTAAGATAATGTATTTAAAAAATTTTCATTTGAATTTTTTTTAGGTATGATTCTGTTATTTTTCTTGCTTTTCTTACTTCTTTTGCTTTTTCTTTTTGTCCTATGTGTTTTCCTTCCTTTTTTCTCCATGAAAAAAAAAGTTCCTGCTCAAGCTTTCGGTATTTGTCCGTTTCCAATCTTTACAACAAATTTCACTAAGAATTCAGCTGTGATTCAAAGACACTGTTATCTCAGATGCTCACTCTGAAAAATTGCCCCCAGTCAACTGATGATTCACTGTATATCTCTCATTACACTTGAAACCCATTTATGGTGTCATCTGTATGCCTGTCCATCTTAATGTACAGCTACTGTTAAATAAATGTCATATGTGCCAGGGAAAAAAAACATTTAAACTGACATTTAGTTTACAAAAAGAGACCTTCCTGTTCAAAGACAAAGACGTGGATTTGATTTAAATCACATGATTGATGAGTTCGGCTGCAGGTTGTAGGTATTTGCAGCGGTGATAAGAATGAAAATGGAAGATTTTGCCAGTGTTTCCACAAACAAACCGACGTCCTCCATCCACTTCTTTCATCTCGTTTCAGCTCTGGCATCCAGACCTTGCCTCACAATGCCAAAGTCCACTACAACTACGCCAACTTCCTGAAAGACAGCGGTCGGCACCAGGAGGCCATTCACCACTACAACACTGCCCTCAGGTGTGACTCCTCATTTATGCAACACCAGAGCTCCTCATTTTCCCCACTGGCATCCACTCTGTTATTCTTTTTTACAGAAAAATCAAGCAAACTGAGTTCTTGGGTTTTGCTTTAGGGTTTGGCATCTCTGGAGTGACTCAAAATCTCAATCAAAGCCGAATGCTCATGTTAAGTTTATGAAATAGAAGCTGTTACAACAATCACTGTCTTTTCCTGACATATCTGCATAAATTGTTTATAAAAGACAGTTTATGCAAATGTGTGACTACAAAAGATTGTCGGTTGTCGTTTGCCCCAGTTTCTGTTTTACACGTCTAACTCCTAGGGACTTTGGAGCACTGGAGCTGTTCTAACTCAGCTTTGAATGATTTGAAAAGATTTTCCACCCCATGGTTTCAGACTTTGCTTAATGGCTAAACGTAAATCATTATATGTAACTCCGATTTATTTAATTTTTTTACTGGAGCTGGCTTAGTAAACCAAGCAATAGTTGTTGATTTGGTATGTATTAAGTGTTTTCATAGCAATAATATCAAAACTTCCAGAAATCCCTAAATGTGCTTCTGTGTTGACATGTCACAGATGGGGTTTATTTTCCAGTGTCAGATGCTTTCAAGCTAATCCTGATCTGTCTGGTTATTCATAGTACACTAATACTATGTGTAATGTAGCACAGAAAAAAAACCAAGGGCTCCATCCCCAATAATCCAGTCACTTCTCTGCTGACTGCTTAATGGAAAGCCACCGCTGTCGCACCCAGCTTTTTAATCTGTCATTTATTTGTGTATTTGTAATGAATGACCTCAGCTGCACTTACTTGTTGCGATGTTCAGCTTAACAGAGACCTTTAAAGGCAAACAAAAGTCTATATATCTTCAGTAAGGTTTTTCAAAACTCCTGTCCCAGGAAAATATTTGACTAAATCAGCATGGAGCAACATGGAGCAAACCATGACCACACATTTGGGGAAATGGCCTTTGACTGTACCATTTTGAAGTGAAGTCCATAAAATTGTAAGAATGGTGTTTTGTATGCAAATACCTTTTCAGATGAAATCAATGTATCAAATCAAGGTTTCCTTCTTGGTGATAATGTGACATATAAAATTAAATATTTGTTTCAACTTATTATGAGCCATTACTAGGTAATGGCTCAGCCCCCAAATACCAACACTAAATGAGTGGTTAGACGTCATATATGATATTTTGAAGCTTGAGAGAATAACATTAAATGTCAGATTGCAACAGGACAAATTTGGGGAAAATGGAGTAGGTCGATTGAGCTTATCGCAACTGTAAGGGAAGATTTAATTGAAATCTGATGTAAAGGGTGATTGTATTGTATTTTCATTTAATTATACTCATTAGATGTTACGTTAAAATGTTTTCTGCACCAACAAAAACTTTGAAAGTCAAGAATTGTTTTTTGAAAGTCCATACATGCATTGGGTAACACTAGCTTTCTAACTTTCTTTGTATCATGTGAGTATTTTTAACTTGCCTCGCTATAAGGAATGATATATTGCATTTTTCTATTAATGGCACAATTCCCGGCTCTTGACACAATAAGCCACGCCCACGCAGTGCTGTGGGGAGGCCATGGTTCAGTTTGGAGGGTAATTTTTTTTCCACCCAGAAGGTGTGTGGTTCTGGTGTCTGTCGTCTGTGTTCATGTCTACGTAAAAGCAGAGTCCTGCATATAGACCAAATAACTGAAAAGAGAGCAAATATGCTACACCCGTGAACCATTTTCTGATTCATACATGAAGCAAATTAAGTACCACAACACCTGCCATAACATGATTCACTGATATGTTACTATTGTAATGGTATGTAATGGCGGATCAGACTACAGTAGATGCCTTTTTTTCTTTTTTTGCTGAATGTTGACTGTGGTCACTATATTAATTTTGACAATATAAGAGGAGGATATGTTCTCCCAGTGGCATAAATTATTCTGTTGATTTCTGTTTTTGTTTTTAGAATGAATGAAGACAACACATTGGTTTGCTCTTTCTCTCATGATGATGAACTCTAATGAAATAATGATCCATTAGGAAGTTATACTTAAAAGTCATTTTGACTTTTAGCTGTCGATGTAATCGATTTCACGCAACAATAACAATTGATTTGCTTTACAGTCCAATCCAATCAATTAAATTAATCTGCATTTTAATTAGAAAAGTATTGATTATGATGGTCCACTCTTCGTTTGGCTCAGGTTATACCCCCGACATGCCAGCGCAATGAACAACCTAGGCACTCTAACCCGCAGCCCAGAGGACGCTGAGCGGTACTACAGGAAAGCGCTGGACACCAACCCTCAGCACAACCGGGCTCTGTTCAACCTGGGAAACCTTCTCAAGTAAGGACCACACACAGACTTGAAAGGCTGATTGAGAGCAGATTTCTGGCAACAGCTTTTTCCTCTAAACCTTGTGTGACATCACAGCTGTCGATGTTGCTGCTTTTTGTGGAAATCCTGGAGTTTAGATAATGGAAATTTCTAAAAGATTTGAAATACTAAGTGGAGCCCACATGGTGTGACAGTGTCTGGAATGAGGATATGATAAGAATGAAATAAGCTTTCACACAATAGAGAGAAAGATAACCCCTCCAACCATAAATTCCCTCTTGGTAATCTTGACAGAGATAATGAAAACCTCAGCTTTTCTGGTGTATCACCCTCCCAGGAGCTTCACTTATTCTTGCTCCAGATGTTTTTCTTATTTGTCACTGAATAGGACGCAGGCTTTAACCGTTTAAATAACAATCAACACTGCCATGTTCAGACTCTACTCCTTCTTTTCATCCGCCGTGCTCTGTCTCTAGTGTTCGATTAGTCATAATGAAAATGGCTACGACACTGTCTTTCAGGTCCAAGGGGAAGCAGAAGGAGGCGGAGGCCCTGCTGAAAGACTCCATCCACTATGGCCCACATTTCTCCGATGCGTACTCCAGTTTGGCATCACTCTATGCAGAGCAGGTAACACGTCTGGGGAACTCTCTGTGTAGAGTTTGCATGTTTTCTACCTGTTTATGCATGTGTTCTCTCCAGAGGACTCAAGCTTCCTCCCACATTCTGCAAACATGCAGCGTAGGTTTATTGATGATACCCCCTTGGAATGAAATTGACTGTTTTTGGTTGAGTGTCTCTGTGTGTCCTTGCCTGTGTGTCACGCCTCTCGCCTAATGTCTGCTAGGAATAAGTGGTATATACTGTATATAATGGGTGGATTTCTGTACAGGCATCGATTTAGCCCCATGAGAGAAGTTATCTGTGAATGCTTGATGAAACATGTCCCTGTTTTTTTATATTATATTTTCATTTTTCCCCCCTAGAAACGCTTTGCTGATGCAAATGAAGTATATTTAAAAGGTATAGAAAACTGTCCAGACAGCTCCGACCTTCATAACAACTATGGAGTCTTTCTGGTTGATACAGGTGAGTTTATTCTACTAGTCTACTCTCCAGCTTCAACTGATGGATTCAGTCACTGTGTCCATATTGAGAAAAATTCTGTTTTTAAAAAAATATGTTTTTACCTTATATTTTTTACATTTGTCTTCCTTTCATGAGCTAAGTAGCTATTGGCCATTTATAGGTAAAATAAATCATTTGATCTAACAGACAGAACAATAATTTTGTATCTGTCAAAGTAAAAACAAATCAAGTCATGCTAAATGAACAGTTTGTTTGTATGTTTATGGCATAATGCAGGACTCTAATGAGTGCCTCAGGTGAGGATCCAAGTAAGTCAATACTAAAATAGTTCAGTAAAACTGCGCCACTAACTAGTCATAGAGAATCAAGTTAACCAACAGGTGGTAATGAATGGTCATCCTGTAAAGTCAAATTCAACAGTGTCCAAATCTGTTTGTCTTAAGTGATTTTTTTAAAAGCTCTTTTTTATGAGTATATCTGCATTAGTTGATAAAGAAAAAAATCCAACTTAATGTGACTTTAGAGATCTGTCTGGAATTTTCCCATCACAGTTGTGTGGCGGTGTATTAAGTCAACCATTATTTGTTTTTATTTTATTTTGGCCCTTACTTAGCTGCCCTGGATTCTTCTAGACCGCAGCCATTTAGTATGGGTAGTATGTCTGTGTTAAATTCATCAAATGTAGAAGTTTGATTTAATGCTTTTTCAGCCAGAAAATATTTAAAGATTCCAGTCTCCATTAAACGTTCATGCTTTTTTCCTTTTTGTAGTGTCATGTATTCATAAAAACACACCTACTGTAATAGTAGGTGAGCTGGAGACAAGGGCTGCAATGCTGAGTTTTAAATGTGGGAGAACCAATGACTTCAAACAAACTTTAGCTCCATTGGTCTCATTTGTTTTTCTTTCATGCATCTTCTCAAAAATAGTTTCTTGAATTGCCTTCCAATTCCTTTTTCTCATTCCTCTCCTTCCTCCTTCAGGAGAAGGGGAGCTGGCTGCAGCCCACTACCAACAGGCAGTGCGCCTTAAACCGGCACATTACGTTGCCATGGTGAACCTGGGCCGTCTGCTGCGATCATCCAATGAAAACCAAGAAGCCGAGTCTTGGTTCAAAAGGTGAGGGAAGCATCTTTGTTCTTGGGATTAGGCTGGAGCAGAGCGAATGACCAAGACAGCTCGTGTGAGTGTGGCTGTAGTGTGGAGAAGTGAGACAAAGTACACAGCAGTTCACTGTAGGCAGTGGAAAGAATTCAGTGTACTGATGAATAACATTCCTAGAATGCACAACACCAAAGTGGCAGGCAATAACTCCTTCTCCTATGTGAGTTTTGTATTTAATAAAAGAGATTTAATCCAGTATCGCGCATGTTCTGGGTGAGGCCCAATTAGATGCTTAAATCCAGGCAACTGTCATTATTTGATATGGATGCTTAGTGGCTCTACCTCCCCGTTATAAACATGCTGCTGGTAAGATATTTAAGGCTCAAAGTCCAGCTGTCCAACAAGAAACTAATTTCACCTCTTTGGGTCATTCCCCAAATCTTTTTTTTTTTTTACGAGGGTTTTACGAGGCCAAGAGCACTACATCATCTGCAAAGAGAAGAGCCAGACACCTGTTTTTATCCAATAAATCTTCAAGATTCTTTTCCATCAGAATGGATAGTTTACAGTGTGTAATTTCACATATATTCTTGACTGTCAAACTTACTTGATACCCTAAGCAGCTGAATGAGGATAATATCCTTGTCGATTGTGAAGTAGCTGATTAAAACGATCCCCTAAAGATGATGCCAAGACAGAATCCTAATGAACTTCATTAAAGAGATTAATTATACCTCTATAACCTCTATAATTGGATTAATGATTTAACGATCAAGAGTTGATTTTTATGTTTAAGTTTGTGTTTAATTTAACCAAAATTAAAAATCTGGTTTTAACTAGGGCAGTATGGATAGATTGATCAAATAGAAGTGTTGGACTGGTTCAGATAGGGCCGAAAATGGACATTGATCGCTCAGATAAAGCAGTAGTTGTTACCTCTGAGATATTGACAGCAACAGTCTGAACACAAATTAGGTTTTGAAGACATCTGCAAAGCTGCCTTACTGATACATAATTGATAGTAGAGAGAAACATGCTATGAATTTTTCACTCTGATAGAATCATTTTATGAGGGAGGGTTAAGATCAGATAAAATCACATGACACATCTGAGCTATTCTACACCAATTTTGTATAATATTTGGTGTAATCCACTTCCTTTTCTTAGATTCATGCTCAGGGACACCCAGGAAAATTGAAAAGTTTAGTCAGGTTGCTAATTTGAACGTATTACAGTATTTTTCTGGTGGCAGCGAAGAGTCACACTGGTTGTTGTCCTCCTTAATCATATTGTTACATAAAGCTTGAAATAGAAAATGATCACAGTATTTTCTATTACACCTTGTAGTAATTTTTTTTAACAAATCACCTCAAATATAACAGATATGTGTTATGTATGGTAGAGTAGTGCTCATTTACATTACAACTTGCCTATTGTTTGTTTAAAAAAAAAGGAATTTGTGGGTATTTTTCATAATTATTAGTTATTTTCCCTTTGGATAAGAGGTATATATGCTGTGTTATCAGAGCCAGGTACACATCAAAGTTCAGTCAGGAAATATTTTTCACCCAATTTAAGATTTTTAATGCAAGCAAAAAAACTAAAACAAACAATGTATGAAACCATATCTGTCATTCTCAAGAAATTATATGGAAGAAAAGCAAAGTGATCTTGTGTTATGTTTTAAAACGGGTCAAACTGATCCAACAACCGGAGGACCCTAATAACCTTAATGAGAAAAAAAAACTTAAGTTAGCTCATAATTTAAGATGATAGACATGCTAATGAACTTTGCCAAACAGTCAATTTGGACAAAGAGTTTGTGGTGAAACTAAATTAAATATTGAGCATATTTAAACTGAGTTAATGGCAATTTTGTAACCCGGATCAGGTTTATCAAGCGTCTGGGTAGTTTTGTCAGATCCCCAAATATATTCTTTACAGAACAGAAGGTTGGGTCTTTCTCTAAGAAAGAAAAAGAAGAAAGAAAAGGGGAAAACAAAGCAACCTTTTAAGTGAATGTTGCAGCACATTCTCTCCGTCCTTATAATCACACGACAGTGAAGTCTAAAACGACTAAAATAAACAGAAAAGTATTATTGGTGACATATCAGGGCTGCTTCTCTGAAGGTGTGACCGACAGCACATCATTTTTCAGAAGAAACTCAATGAAAACATGTTTTTTGGTCGTCGGTCACAGTTTCCCTGCAGCTCCACACGTTATTTGAGAGTTAATGGAAATTGATAGTGACCTTTCTGTTTGGCTGAATGCAGACAGGTGGTTAGGATGCAGATGTGGCATGTGTAGGCCTGAACCCCCCCCCGTTAATCTCTTCCTGCAGGGCACTGCAGGTAACCAGGAAGGTGGACATCCTGACCCCCCTCGGAGCGCTGTACTACAACACGGGCCGCTACCAGGAGGCCCTGCAGGTGTACAGAGAGGCTGTCACCCTGCAGCCGGACAGCACTGAGATCTGGCTGGCTTTGGTGAGCTGAAACAAGCACGTAGCCAATCACGGCACGTCAGGACCACTGCGCGTGTCTCCTCCCTTGCAAATCGACATCTGTGTCCTGAACACGCTAATGAACCCTAGAAACAAAAACAGAACAACTTGTGTTTGTCCAGGCTCAGGTTTTGATCATGGCTGGCCAATCCAAAGAGGCAGAAAAGATGACCCAGGACATCATATCCAGAGAAAGCAGCTGCATCGAATGTTACCGCCTCCTCTCTGCCATCTACAGCAAGAGCGGCAACTACACGGAGGTGTGTGAGCGCATGTTTGCTTCACTCAATAGCAAAGACGATGCGCAGAAAGTTATTAGTTGTCAGTTACCGCGGAAACAGGTAGCTCCACCTCTCACCAGCAGCCATTTTGATCTTTTCTGTCACCAACTCAGACACAAAATCCCGTCTCCGACAATGGAAACTACAAATCCACATGTGGTCATGCGCACGGAAGTGAAACCTGCTGCCACACGACACTTTAATAAAAAAAAAGTATTTGGAAACAGTACTCCTGCTAAAGGCATGCAGCCTTAACCTAATCCTAAATCTGCAAACAATTCATTTGTATCCATTCCTGTAATTGGTAGTAATGGGGCAGGGATGGGAGTTGAAATATGAGATTGTCCTGTGTTTCAGCTAACTTTTGCTGCAATGACATTTCCAGATCCTTCCTGCTCTTAGCCCATACACCTCCTTTATCTGCATAACACACACCATCTGGTTTCATTGAGATGGAATAATAGAAAATATTTCAATCTGCAGCCTACTAATTGGCAATTGTCCTGCATAGTGCCATGCTTGATTTTATTTTTGCAATCAATAGTGCAGTACAGCAACACACAGAGAGCCGTTTCCATGACTAAAATTTCAAAAGAATATCATAAACAGTGGTTTTCATTATTATTATGAGCCCGTAACAGCTCAGTTCTCTTTCCAAATCAGCGCTTGCTCGTTATTTCTTCTCGTCCCTGCACCTTTCCTTCAGAGGCCCTTCGATCAATTGGAGCGGCTGATGAAAGTCCATTTTGAGCGAGCGGCGACTCTGTAATTTAGACCTGAAAGCGCACTTCAGAGTTAAATGTGCAGCCGTGCGTGTTTGTGTGTTGATTGTGTGTGTGCTGCAGGCTCTGGAGGCTCTGGACCGGGCAATACAGCAGAATCCCAGCGATGCGACGGTGAAAGCAGAGCTGTATTTCTCCAAAGGAAACCAGCTGAGAGAGATGAACCAACTGGACCAGGCCTTTGAGGTACCGCTCTCCCACGTTTGCCTCTTCTCCTCTACTTACCCGGTAACATCGATTTTTACTGAGCCACAACTCTCGAGTGGAAAGAGTTCTGATTGTAAATATACAACAATGAAGAACGTGTGTTTTCTATCCCCTCATGAATGTTTAATACAGTAAATCAAGGTCTTTGGCTCATGTTATTCTGCCCAAGTGGCTCTTGTGACACCCACCATGTGGACCTTTGCAAATTGACTTCATATTCAAAGTCCTCTGCCATCAATAGGGATGGAAATAGATGGTGCCCTTAAATCTGATGCACAGATGAGCTCTATTGTAAAAGCTGATTTTTCAAATTGCCAAAATAAGCTCCATTTTCTGAGGGCAAGTGAAGGGTGAATGATTCAACATGCTGTATTTCGTCCCTTCGCCATCTTTTTATCCAAATGTACAGCTCTTTGGTCAAATATTGTTTTTAAGCTGCTTTATCGATTAATTTTTTAGGGATTTGTATTTGTACAAAACTGAAGGTTTTTGAAGAAACGTGTAACGTTAAGGATGGTACGGGTCTGATTGAAAGAAAGCCGGCACCGTGTTGCCAAAAATGAAGCGCTGCCATCTGCAGGGCATCAAATAACAAGCTACCCCGTAGCTTTTCAGTAAAACTTTGATCTGGAGAACTGCTCCAAAGAACAGAACACAAGCCAGCTAACTTTGTGCTAATGAGATGAGCGTTCAATGCAAAAACCGCAAAAGAAGCTAGGAAGAGGAAGGCTGCAAGGAAAAAAGAGACTAGATAATAGAAACCAGTCATGTTCTGGGTTTGGAGGTTTTTGTAATAATACATTGGAGTGGAAGCAATGAAGGTAGAAAATGTTAAACAGACTGTTATTTTAATTTCTATGAATACAACACAGAATGTTCTTATTCAAAGTATATTCAGTGGAGTCAAACTTGGCATGTTAGTTCTCAGAATAGTCCTACCATGACATGCCGTCCAGATTTAATCTTAACAGAGTACTTTGAGAACAGCTTTCCTGCACAGGAAGCTCTCATTGACTTCCTGACAAAGAGACTTTAGAGAAAACCCCTAGAGAGACTAGTTTGGAAAAAGAATCCAGGACAAGAGAGAGACGGAACTGGTCTCAGTTTTGTCAAGCAAAAAAAAAGTAAGAAGGTAAGTTGATGTGTGTGTGCCTTATGCGGCAGTACACACCATGTTGTGTTGACTCTGTCTCCTGGGGGCCACAGCACAAAACAAATATGAATAGTTCTGCCCCAATACATGCAGAAAACAAGGCCTTGAAAACAGAACAATGAGGAGTGGTGAAGAGACAGTCTACATTGGAACTATTTTATATAAGATAAAGAAAATGCTATATTAAATGCGGAGAACAGTGGATCGTTACAATGCTGCTGGCTTTGAGCGACCTGCTGGGTAAGAGTCCTGTCCAAAATAGAACAGGAAAAAAAATCGAAGAGTGAAAACACAACCGCTCCCGCTCAAGCTATTGTCAGACAGTCTCCAATCAAGTCATCCAAAAAAAAGTAGGCGACCCGTTTGGGATTTTAACAGGCATGCTGAGTGTATCAGACAGAGAATACATGGGGAAAAACTAATTTTTTTCTTTTTGATTAGATTAGATTCTATTGGTGATCCCAGAGTGGGATTACAGCAGCAGTGCAAAACGCCTAGTAGAGGCATAATGAAAGAATTTACAGGGGGTCTTTTCATCATCTGTGACTTATAAATAGCACAACAAAAAATGAATTGATGAACTTATTTAAAAATAATTAAGTATAAATAATGTCAACAGATTTTTTACTAGACAAAGTAAGAGTAAGTGTAGGTGGCTAATAACCAAGACGCAGTATTAAACGAGGGCGGAACTATTTCAAGGTTTTAAGGCTGAAGAGACTTTAGCAGTGAGAAAAAGAGGAAGATTTTTCCAGGAATCCTGACAGAATGAATGAAGAAGTCCTGTCGTTTGAGGTCTGATGTCTCCAACACAAATAGAATATCCATATGAAACAGTATCATGTGCCAAATTGGGGGATGTTTTTATTTTATTTTTTATTTTTAAAGAAATCATTCCCCAGAACGGAGTTTAGCTTGTTTTGTTGTTTTGCACAGCGTGAGCTAAATGACTGAGTATGTGAGTCAAGTTGTTTATCAAACCATTTGGTGGCATCATCCGTCTCCTGCTGAGATATTTAGCTTTTGTGAGGTTTAGTGTTCTCTTCAGCCCAAAAATCTGTCTCTTGAAAGTGAAGTAGAAACTGCTCAGATCATCCACACCTTTGTCTATTGATTGAGTTTCTAACTTTTTTTAAAAATGATACTCAGTTGATATCAAACTGTTTTTTAAACACACATTGTACGTGGTGCACATGTGGGAAACCGGTGAGACTTTGGCATCAAAGCCATGTGATAGAGGTCCAATATTTTTTGGGGATGTATGTATCAAAGATCTGGTTTCAACCATCTAACTCAGATGCTAATATATTTAGAGTGTATTGTTGCCAATTATGCTGCGTTCGTTCGGGCATTTAGTTATTTCCCGTTTGGACATCTAATCCTCATTTCTGTCATCAGAGCTACAAGGTGGCTGTTGAGCTCAAACCGGACCAGTCCCAGGCCTGGATGAACATGGGAGGAATTCAGCACATCAAGGTAGGAAAACGGTCATCCCACTGCTGGTGTCCACCCCGGCCCCGTGCATCGTTTCTAGCTCTTGACCTAGTTTTTCTAAACTTGATCCTTACGGGCTCCTGGTGTTTAGGCATTCCTTTCACATCCCAAAGCGCACTCTTAACTGATGTCTCCACGCAGGGAGACTACACCTTGGCGAGGATGTACTACCAGCAGGCCCTGCTTCTGAGTCCCGGCTCCAAACTGCTGAAGGAGAACCTGGCCAAGCTGGACCGGCTGGAGAGGCGAGTGACGGGCGGGGCCTAGACGCCGGCCACCCGATCCCCCTCGGTCAGGCGAGCGGTCGGGCGCCGTTTGCCCCGACTCAAACCCAGACTGCCAGCAGCCCCCGGGCCCCCGGGTCCAGCAGACCCGCTCACACACACACACAGCCTGGCCCGCACCAGACCACAGGAGGTGGGAACCCACGGGGACAGCAGGGATTTTCCAGGTGGAATAGGGTGTGTCCTCAACATCTGCCCCACACATCTGTGTCCGATACCTTTACTTTAGCTGTAAGGCCGTTTCCTCAGTGGCGTTCAATGACAGATTGTATCTCTGCCTTTTGAGATGTCCTCATGCGTTTATGTTAGCTGAGAAAGTGTATGAAGAACGCAACTGTCGCGAAGAGACTGGACAAAGAGTTGTTCCCTGACCCCGAGGCGACAGGTCAGATGCCCACTTACAAGCTTTATGGAGCTTTTTCAACCCCGTGTCGCTTTAGGAGACCGGATGTGCCTCTTTAAAAAAGCAAGAACAAACAAAAAAAACTCCCTACTTTGTGAGAATTGCTTTGCTTTTTTTTCCCTTTTTTTTTTTTTCCTTATCGTCACGTGTTTTTAAACTCAAAGCCGAAATCAAAGACATCAATTTGACGAATAATTGCCGATTTTCCAAAAAAATGCACCAAACGGGGGATGAGTGCATCTTGCTGCAGAATGTAGTGGCATCTATGCAAGTGTTGTGTCAAATTTAGCAGCTTAATCTCCAGCCTGGCAGTGATTTTAGGTGCCCACAGAGCATCAGGATCCGTGCTGTCTTCTCCAGGCGAGGCGAGACTCGGACACTTTTTAAGCAGACCAACAAAAACAACGACAACAACTCACTGCCTCGCCATCGGATCATTGCAGTGCAGCACGGCCAATGCAAAGGCTTTTTTCCGACGATCAATCAGCGGGAAACTTGTGCACTCAAACCAAAGCGTTCAGAGTTCAGGATAAAAGCTTATTTGTCTCTTATCATCCGGCCTTTCGTATGAGTTATTACAGTGAAATCTGACGCAAATTTGCAAAAACGTAATAATTTTAATAGCGCGAGCACAACATTTATCCCAGAAATGTTATCCACAGTCCTCAGAATGTGTTTTTATTTCCAAAGTAAGTATTGTAAGTACATGGGAGTCATGTTTTGGATTGGAGGCTTTATGATGTGCAGCATATGAAGGCCTGACTCAGACAGGGACAAGCTGCAAACTTTTCCATGTTTGTTCGATGTTTGTTTTTCACAAAAACAAGAAAAAACTCCAGCATAACCAAGTTATTTGTGACCTTTGTCAAATAAGTTGCACCATCTGCTGAAGAAGACTTTAATATATAGTTAACAGCTCCAGAAAGTTAGTAGGTGGTCATTTGGACCTCTGCTTTTTTTTTTTTTGTAACAATAGAAGGAAAAAATAGACAAAAGATACCAGTTGCTGTGTGTCATTAGATGCACCAAAAGCTATATGTGTAAAGCTCTCTTTTGTAGAAAGATAAGATTACTAATAACTGCTGCTTCCTCTGGAGCCAAACGCAACCACTTTCCAACTGACCTCTTCCAAAAGTGTCCTGAAGCTGAGCTGACCAGCCTTCTCCAGCTACAATAAGCTCCCGTTCGTACTCTTATGGCTTCGTGTGCATCGTATCCTCAGAATATTTCTGTCAGGGTATTCTTTGTGGTTTTGTTGACGGTGACGTGTACTCTGTGTTGTGGAGTGACAACTGAATGAAAAAGAAGCGACCAGTGCAATATCTGACTTGCACCAAGAAAATAAAGTATATGTTTTATTACACCGCGTCTGGAGTTGCTCTCACAAAATATCGACAAAAACATAAATAATGTTTACTCACAGCTATGGTATAATACTTTGCTAGCTTCAAATCCTAAATGAATGACTATAAATGTCTCTGCTGGCAGGAAGCTCCACCAGTTCCTTTCTGTGCTGCGGCAGAGCTGAAAATATGATTCATGGTTAAAGTCGAGAGGTTTGGACCCAAAACCTGGCCAACCCAGAAGCAGGGCAAATGTTAAGTCAAAGATTTGCTCTGATTTAAAAAAAATTTAGTGCGGCTTTGCAGGAACTCTTTAGAAAATCATGGAAAACCTGATCCAAGCTAAATCTGATCAACAAAGAGAACAGCCCTGAAGACCAAAGGCTGATAACTGTGAGCTGAAGCCTTTTCAAGGAAAAATTGAGAACATTTTTTTTAAAACTCTGTGAAATCAAGGAATGGGAACCCAAAAGCAAGGTAAAAAAGAAACATTATATAAGACAACCCCATGCAGAAAAGGCAGTTAACTTGGACCAAAGCCACTGAATGTACACTGGATTTTATACATCTGTAACTTTACTAATACCAGATACTAACTAGAAATCTCCATTCAAACATTAAGTGAAAAAGAAAAAACCTTCACATGCATGCAATCGTTAATTTTTTCAATCTCAGGCAGCTCACAAACAACTCCAAACCTAATCACTGAAGACGAAAAGAAGAACCTTGGCTCCAAATCTCTTTCCAAAAATACCGGTTCTATACAGGATCCGACTATTGTATTGGACTACTTGGAACCACCCAGATTTTGTTTGCTTGAAAGTGTTGCTGACAGAAACTGGATCGGTTTCAGGATTAAGAAGGAGCTCCACAGTCCCCACCCATTGGCTCTTTGATAATATTTTGAAGCCAAAATGAGAAAACCCAATGGAGACCTATGGCACATGGCCAGTTCTAACAGAAAGTACATGAGGAAAAAAAAGATGTTTGGAAAGGAAGCCTCTTTCAAGGAGACTGGAGCTGTCTGTTTCCTGAACCGCAGCAAAAAAACAAAGAGACTACAGAAGTTAAGAAACAGTGACTAAGAGAAGCTTGAATATAAAGAAATCCATTTTACTCATTTCTTCAACTGCGAACTGAAAAAAAAATATATAAAGGGATGTCTTGACATTTATGTAAACTTAATTATTCAGAGAGATATGCTTTTCTCTGGTTTATTAAGATCTCCTATGCTTTGAACCTCATCTTTAACCATGTTAGCACTATTCATAATGCCATATATCACTCCATATATTCCATTTATCATGTAAGTTTTTCAGTCGAAAAACATTGTAACCAAAGTAGAAGTGATTTTTTTTGTAAACTAGGAAGTGCAAGCAGCATGCATCCCTCAGCCATGACAAGGAGACTGATTTTTTTTTGTTTTTTTTCTGACCAGCCTCATTTTACCATTAAACGTGACACTTAAAAACTCATTTGTGAAGATAGAAAAGTGACTGCAACACATATCATATAATATTACTTCTATGGTTCTCTCTGGCCGCAGAACTGGCTGCTTTAAAGCTCCTGTTGACTGTAAAGCCTGATTAACATCCTGGAAATCAACTAGGTAATACAACATATCACAATTGGAAAATTGACTTTGTTTCACCAGTAATGGCCTGGTGAACACAATTTAGGCATGACCACCCTAAAAAATCATTTTGTAACATCAAAACTTCTTAAAACACTCCATTTAAAAGAAGAAATATCATCTATTGTGAGTGTGAATTTTAGATTTCATTTGGCAGATTTAATTTTTTCTGTTAAGAAAGGTTTACAGCACATTTAACAGAAGGATGGTACTGTGAAAGCATACCAGAACATTATCTTGACTGTGGTAAGTGACCTGTCACAGTGATAAGGGTAATGTTCCCAGCAAATGGTGCATATAAATAGGCGAGTGTCAGCTCTGCAGCCTTTAGCTCTCCTGCTCCCCATCAAATCTCTGCAACTAAATGATAAGCTTATGGTTACTGCCCATTATGATGGCATAAATCTGACAAGATATGTTGGGGACAAGAGGTGAGCAAATTAATTTGGTAACTCTTTGCATTACATTAGATTCAATTGATTTAATTAAATGAAATGAGGCAAACAAACTGAGGTGAAATAATGCTAAGCAGAGGAAAGCCCTCATAAAGCCTCTATCCTGAGAGGGAATATGGGAATTTATGTTTTCCTTGATGGGTTGACCAAAGAGACAGACCAATTAGATAACTTTAGTTCTTATAATGCGTTCAACTAACTTTCTGAAGTTCTCTCATGTTTAGACCAGAAAGGAGAGATTTTCTCAGTTTAATACTTTCAAACATTGGATTAATTCAAGAAAATATCCAAACAAGGGGGAACAATAATGATAATTGATCAATATTTGTTGTTAATAATGTTACTAAAGTTATTAAACTATCTGAAATGTTTCTTAAAAGCTTGCGGAACAGAGGCCCAGAATTCCACGGTCACCATGGCTCCTGCTTATGGGCAGGATGGCAGCATCTTTTAAAACAAACAATAACACAAGCGGACCATATAGCTTTTTCCATTCACATTTCACTACAGCCGGTTTTAAGGACATGTAGAT